GAATTTAATTAATACCTAATGTGTATTATAGTCATGAGGTGTACTACTGTACTGCCTGTGCTGGTGTATTTGTAAATAAAATGATGGATACTCAGCTTCTAATTAATATTTCATATTATTAGCTACACTCGAAGTATACAATATTATTTCTGAAATTATACGAGTAGAAATGCTTATGTATATTTTGGCTTTGAGATCATACAATTTGTCACTGGGACTATTCTTATACGAACAGACAAATTGTATTGATTGGATATGTCTTGTTGATGCTCTTAGATCTTCATTGGTTCAGTACACTAATACAATAAACTAGCATATTATCTACTATATTATAATAAACATATTAAACATGGAAATAAAAATTAAATTTAAAAAAAAAATTAAATTAATAATAAATTAAATTAATAATATACAACAACTATACCAGAATATTGAAAATAAAACTGAAGCATCAATTCAATCGGGAAATAGTGACCAGGTAGTTCATTTTTACAGTTTTAAGGTTTATCAAAATTATTAAATGTTAATACTGAAATTATATTCCTAATATTTAGGTATTATATTATTTCTTCATTAACGAAATTCTTGAATATATAATATGTTATTATTATAATTTTTTTAATTATGTAGAATATTCGAATGAAAACAAAAGCATCACATGTAAACCAAGAAGAAGTTATAACAAGTTCTGATTCCGATTTTAAAAGAGAAACTGGGAGTTTAAAATCAAGGTTAGTTCTATTTTTAAATAATATTTTCGATTAAAATAATAAAACTATGCTTTACCATCTTTAGTTTTAATATTTTATTTTTAGTAGTGGATGGATGTACGAAGACAGTAGTTATTACTCATCAAGTTTACGAGACAAAACCGACAGTAGTGAAAGAGAAGTATGTTAAGACTTGTTTACTTACATATTTTAGGGCTTCACAATTAATAATAATTTAGTGACTCGCGACGGTTGTAGAACAATAGGTAATAATAATTATCGTGTTCCAAAAACGATTTTGAGATTATAGTTTAGGCCAAACTGATATAATATGAAATTCATATTCAATATTGGTCGTAATATTATATGTTATTGAACGGTATAATAAATATTATTATTGTATATTATCTTATTTGACCAATTGATATTAAGCTAACGGATGTGGTATTCTCACAGACTTCTATACTACTATAATATATAGAAATCTGTGGGTATTTCATACAAATCTTTTATCCAACACAACTGATACAGTGATACCATTGATAACCACAAAATCATTGCATCTATTTTTACTGTTTTTTAGATGTTATATTTCTCTATTGCTCAGAAACTTCCGTGTTAGTGAAAACCATCGCTTCTTTCTCTCTCCGTTATTTTGACAAAAATCGAATGATGTTTACTGAAGATAGGAATGCCATAACCATATGTTTAATATCAATTAATTTGTCCCTACTTGACTATTTTTTTTTTAAATACTATTGAATTTATTAAGTAGTTGAATGAATTACAAACTAAGATATATATGTAAAGAATAAAAAAAAATGCTAATAACTGCTTACAAATAATGACGACATACATAATATTTGAAACCTTACGGGAATGTAGCTATATTGCCTAACCTACACGCCGTATAACAGAAATGTGTTAAAATTGACAAAACTTACTGAAGATCGAGAATTCGGGAAACAGTAGTTAGTCCAGTTAGATGTAGAATGTTTGGCTTCGTTATCTTTAGAATAATATTTTGCGTAATAAATTTAAAATCAATTATAAAACAAAGTATTTGAATGAAAGTTTTCTGTGCAGAGCAAGTGTTATATTTATATACAATAATCCTTGATTAATAATATTTCCATAATTCCATCTACATTATAGGTACCTACTTAAATAAAGTATCGTTTATAATTAGATTTATTGCTTCTTAATATTACAATAAATGAACAAAATAAACAAAATCAATTGTGATGTAGATAATATTTACTTTTTCTTTCAATAGATTTTCTACACATAGGGAAACTGTGAAAATCGAATAAAGGAGTCATTCATAATAATTTCCAAGATGTAAGTTCCTATGTTAAAACCATTGATCATATCCTTCTAAGTTGTAACCTTAATATTTGGTTTTAAACATTAAATAGATAGGGACTAAAACATTAACACCAGATAACATATTTTAACTGGAAGGTATTAAGGTATAACATAAAAGGTAATTAGGTCCAGAGGGTACATTCCTCATTCATATTTTAAAATAGTGATAACCATTAGTTTATAAATACATAATTAATAACTAAAATAACTGTTTAATTTAAATAATTAGGATATTACAATTTCCAAAATAATTGTACAGTTCTACGTTTACTGATTTAATAAAAATTTTAATAATTTCAGGACTTTCCTTTGCCACATGTATTTGAAAAAACAAATTGTTCTCAATTAATTAAAAAGGTATAGTAACACATGAATGCTTTACATCAAGCATATTTTGTTAAAAAATAAACTGTATGATTAAATTTAAATTTTAGCAACCATTCTGGATGGATGATATTGTAACAACGCCAGATTTAGTCTATCGGTACCAAACGAACTACGGAGACGTAAATGAAGTGCTGCGTAAAGATATTAACACATTGAATACATTTACTCAAGTAAATTGAATACTATTTTATATGTCTATATAAATGTTTACAATTTTACCCATCACATGTAGAATTTTCAATTTTCATTTATACTGTAATTATTGTTATTGTAGCCTTTGTTAGTGAACGAACAGTTTAAACAATTATGCGTGGAAATTGATGTAAATGGTTCTTCTAAAACATCATACTTTGAAGACGGAACATCATCAAGCAGTGATGGAGACGAATGTTACATTTCTATTGGAGTATGTATATTTCAAACTAAATAAAAATTAAAAAAAATGTCTTGAGATCATAAAAAGTGGGGTTGTTACATTTATTTAGGTCTTTAAAATAAATCTAATTAAAACCTAATTATTTTTGAAATAAAATTTTTCATCTTTTGATAAATGCTAAATTCCATAAGGTTCTGTTAATAGATAAGAAATATATACTGCAAAATCAGTAACATATTTTATAAGGTCAAAATTTAAAACCCTTGATAGCTGCTGTTGCTAAACACGTTTCTGGCCCTAGCTGGTCAGAAATCCAGCAAGTTCCATAGACCCACCGCACTTCACATGTTCAATGTTCATAGATCAATCAAAATAGTTTTAATTTATACTTTGATATATTATTTTTATTATAGTAATTGATAATTTTAATTGATTTTATTGTAGAAAAATAAAAGAAGAAGAATTGACTTCTGCAGAATGGCAATGATTTATGAAGAAGATGCTTTAATACCACCACCACCAACCTCCCCCCGCAAGTAAGCTTTAAGCATTGTTTGTACTATAGAAAAACTCAAATTACTATAACCATTGATTAAATATGTTTATTTAATCAATGCTATAACTATCGATATATATTCATAAATAATTATTTGTTTAAGGTTATCAAAAAGTGATCAGTCAACATCCTAAATATTGTTCATGATACAAAATCAAATGAACATAGTCACATAGGCATCACTAAATGTATATACAATTTTAAGTGCTAGGTACATATTTTATTGTTGTTAAATAATAATAAAATATAATTTAAAGTTAGTAGGTAATTAAGTTATACGTTAAACTTATTTTAATAATTATTTAGTTTATATTAATAATGTAATCTGTTCCTATTGATTAATAAATAAACAAACTGTATTTGAAATTTATTTTAACCAACTTATTTCACATGTTTAAAAATGTTATTACCAAATAAAAGAAATATTAACATTAAACAAACCTATCCTAAACAATGCAAATACTGAAACGCCATATCTACTCTATAATATTATCCCTTCATTTTATTGTTTTCTGCCATTTTCTTTCTCCTCTTGGCAAAAGAAAAATGCTTCTAAAAGGATTGCATGCCCAAAATATCATAACCATTACCAGTTTCATTTTTCTATACCCATTACTCATGACCGTGTATATCAATTATTTGTGAGCGAAACAGTCTATTAATATATTAATAAATTGTTAGATTTATTATTTACATTACAAAGAATAGCATGTTACAGCAGAAAATAGTTCATAGGTATTAAGGATATTATTTTTTTATATTCTATAATCAATTTGTGTGAACATATTCTTATACAAACTAATACCTATTGGTTGACATAATATGAATAATGAACTACCTACACTTATACAATAGTATGAATAATGAACTCAAAATCACACAAAAACTGTTGAAAAAATAATTATTATTTTATTAGTATAATATTGTACATTTTAAATCATATGCAATCATATTACATACATATTACATGTTTTACAAATAAAATTTAAGAACAATATGCTGTTATACTTTAATACCTTTATAATATATAGAAATTACATTTTATATTGCTACTATAGTAGGTACTAAAAATATTGTAAATAAGAACTCAGGAAATATATTTTTATCATTTGTGAATATTATGTAAGTAATAATATATTATACAAGTCAGTAAAATATCTATACTAATACAAATACAAGTCATTCATTAGACATGATAAAAAAATAACTATTATGTTTATATTAGACTTAAATAATTATATATTTAATACCCAAATCATTAGTAAATTCCAAAATGTTTTTATAAAATTGTAAATTAATATTAATTATTGAAAAACCTCTTAATTGAAGACATATTTTTCTTTGACAAGCATTTATAGATATTGGCCTGTTGCATTTAATTTTTAATTTACAGTTAACTACCTATTTGTCTATAAATAACAGAACTTTAATTTTAAATAAAATAATATATACAATAACATGTAGCAAATAGCCTAACAATTTAAAGATCTTAATGTATAACATGCTTATACTCAAAATGTTTTATAAATTACATATTACATTAAAAAAATATTAAATTGTATAGTAAGTCATTTAGGTAATAATCATAAATCAAGAAAATTTATTATAAGGTATTGACTGTTTTTATCGTGTTCCAACTAATATCTAATTGCTTAGAACATTTGGGACACTTCTTGCTACCCACATTTTTAAAATATGCAGTCAAGCAATGTCCATGTGCAAATTTTTCACAAAACGGACATTTGATACCATGTCCAACAATACTCATACAACCCATACATCTTTTGTCCTGAAATTTTTCGCTCAAATACCCTTCCAATTCGCTAATTGCCAATGGTGACAAAAATATATTTTTGTCTTCGTCAGCAATCAAATATTTTGATGCAAAAAAGTTATCTAACTGAGTATCAGACATATTCTTAGAAAATGTCATTAACTGATCATACGTAACAGATCCACCTGAAGCAAAAATATGATTAACGAGTCCGCCAAAGATTATTTTGCTTGGATCCGGTTTAGCATTGAAATCTTCAATAAACGTAGCAATGAATACATAGGCAACATTGCCATTTTGTTCACATACCACTTTGTTGATTTTGAATTCGAGTGGAGAAATTTTAGAGTTTATTAGTTCAATAATGTTATCATTGTCTTTCCCGGGAAACAGAATTTGAATCACCTTTTTAGCATCTTTTTCAGAAACTATTCTTTCGTGCATGAAATACTGCAACACTTGTCTATGCATATCATTGTACGCCATTATTGACCAGTTATGAATGAGAAGTAAAATGTCATCAACTGTGGTAGGATAAATTAAATCCAAATTTCTGTTCTATACCTATAAGTAAAAACACAAAAGAAAACAATTAAAATACATTGTACACTTATTGAACTTAACAACTTACGTAAAAATTGGAAGCTAAACATACAGTGATAAAATAAACAGTTTTTTAAAAACTGTACAGTTCAAAAATTGATTACTGCAAAAACAATAATTTACTTCTAAGAGAGCGAAAAACCATTTTAATTATATTCCAGGTTAGTATAAGAAAAGCAGTGGCATATTTAACGATCGTTTAGTCTGCAAATGCCAACGGGGCCCCCTTCTAAATTGTGCACTGAGGCCCACCTAAATTATAAAGTTGAATTTTTTTAATTTTAACCAAAAAAAATGTATATTTCAAACTGGAATATAATTTACCATTGTTTTAATAATAAAATAATTTAAATATATAGGAATACTTTAAAAGTAGAAAATATTATAATTATTTAAAGTAGAAAAGATTGAAGTAAATACTTATATACGATATACCTACGTAAATTTAAGTTAGGTATTCTAGTATTCTACCCACTTCCATTGAACACAAATAAGATTATTTATAATTATAAATTAATATATAATATAATTCATGATTACATGAAAATAAAAACAATAATTTTGTCAGTATAATAACAATCGTTTTATTACTTAATCGGCAGCGTAAATCATGATTTATTGGAAACTGTTTTTGAGATAAATTCGCAACGTAGGTACATATAAATATTGAAAAATGTGGTAAACAGGGCTGTGAATTTAATCCGTTTGCATTATGTTTTTCATACTATTATGTTTATACATTTAATGGGTTAGGACATTGTTTCGTACAACTGCTATACAATTATTGCTTTAACTAAAGTATTGATTACAATTTAAAATAAGTAAATTTTTTTTTTTTTATAGCTCAATGGCTCAATGATTAACATTTAACAATTGAATATAGTTAATATGACAAAATAAGTATAATCATTATTAAATTAAGAGTAAAATTATAAATAAAGGCAACGAGTAATTGCTTCCACCAATTTACTCGCCAACCAAGCCGACCGGTCCGTCACTCACACTCACACAAACATATTATACACACACATCATTATTGTTTTTGTGAATTATTATAATATAAAATGGTAATTTTATCATTGACTTTTATGTATATAGCAGCTCCTAAAATTGTGTGTAGTACAAAAAGTGAAGTGTGTCTAGTACGAAATTTAAAAATGTGTAACTCAAATTAAACCTTTATTATGTTATGTATAATTGTATGCTTCACTTTTTTTTTTATATTTGCATGCTTTTTTTGTCAAGCTACATTTTATACATTTTATAATCTACATTCTATACACAGGAATTGTATATACCTACTTTTAATTTTGTTTTATTTATAAAAATAAATAAAAACTTATCAATTTTTTTTTTTTTTTTTACTAGAAGATTTGTTACTATAAAATTGAATATTGGTTGATATTATTTTTCGCGAATGAAGCGATCGGTTTTGTGAAATGGGGGCAAGTATGTTACTGATAAATTTTGTAGGAGCCCCTCTTATTCATTTGCCGATTCTTTGAACCCTTAAATCCACCACCGAAGAAAAGGTAAGTTATTAGTATAAAAACATACGATTGATGTATACAATTTTAAATAATATAATGATGTGGTTTTAGTGTTTTACTCACCTAAATAGTGTTTAATAGCAGTTATTATTTTGTCTCAATATCAAGGGATTGACAGAAACACAAGAAAACTGATTATTTATTAGGTTTAATAATAGTATGAAATAAGGATAATAAACTAATAATAATAATTTACATTTAGGTACGTCCTGCTCCTGCACACAAATACTATAATTCTTATATATTATTTTATTCGTGGTCTACAACACTCTGCAGTAGTGCAGTAGTTGTTGTAGACTGGTCCCGCGTAAAATCCCTGATAACGTACTAACCATGGTGATACCAAGGTAACCTTCCCTAGATCTAAAATTAAAAGCAAACTACTTGTATAACTACTTCATAAACTACTTGTAAAAATGGCTAATTAAAAAAAATATAAGATATTTAAAGATGTGATATCATGAATAAATATATATATATATATATTGAATTCAAGTAAACTTATTGTATTTCATTAATGTGTTTACTTGGCGAGGAATTATTGCTTAAAAGAAACAAAGTGTGATGAACAAAATAATTAAATTTTTACATAAATAGTCATTAATAGTCATAAATATAGGTATTTTAAGAACATTTCTTAAATGAAAAGTCATTCAATCATATGGTAAAAATTAAAATAAAATGATAATAATATTTGAATTTTTGTTGTTGATAACTTATCAGTTAATTTACTCTGCGGATGACGTAGGCATAATATGCGCAGTACTAGATGCTGACATACCTTTCATTTAATCATGATTCATGATCATACCTTTTTATTTAGGTATGGGAACACGTGAAGTTTTGTTATAAGTTTTATTATTTTTCCAATGTATTATACTATTATCATTTATCAAATATCAACCAGAGTATTATTATGTAATTTATATTAATATATATTATTATTTTAGCCATCTTCTTTGTTCGTGCTATCTAATATCTATTCTGTTGTATTCTAATATTTCTAAAGACCGAGGTTTATTTACATATAATATTATAGTCCTACCACAAGATTTTTTTAAGATAGAGGATCAAGACACTAAACATCGGTCATAGGTTTTAAATACATAAATTGGCAATTCCACAATGGGTGGTAAGAAAAAAGGTCATAACTTTGGTCGTGCGTTGATCAAAGACAGGTTCGGTCGCAGTAATAAGCCACTGAATGCTGACTCATTTGTAAGTACAACATTCACTATTGTTTTGCTGTCAAATTTTTTATTTTAAAATTATCTGTAAAATAATATTGTGTTTGGTTAACATTTGTGTGAAATAATTGTTTTATTGCTTACATATTTTATAATAGCTTCACACATCTGATTTAGCTGACGGATATGACTGGGGAAGACTCAATTTGCAGTCTGTAACAGAACAGAGTTCTTTTGAAGAATTTTTGTCCACAGCAGAATTGGCCGGAACTGAATTTACAGTAAGTAGTAACTATGATTAAATTATTTTATGTAATATTGGTGTCTTGATGTCTTTTTTAACTATAATTCATCACTTATTGTTTAGGCTGAAAAGTTAAATGTTGAATTTGTGCCCGAAAGTCGAATGGTTGGTACTCTGACTGATGAAGAACGGTTAAAGATTGAAAAGTCCCACGAGGAATTTAAACATTTCATTAAAATTCCCCGAAGGTATGGCCCAATGTATATTTTTAGCAAACATACCATTACATTTTTTTTTTTTAATTTATAGACCTGAGTGGGATAACAAAACTACAGCTGAAGATTTAGAATCAAAAGAAAGACAAAACTTCTTAGAATGGCGTCGTAAGTTGGCAGAACTTCAAGAAGAACAGGGTCTGGTGTTGACTCCTTATGAAAAAAACTTGGGATTTTGGAGACAGCTGTGGAGAGTTGTTGAGAGAAGTGATGTTCTAGTTCAGATTGTGGATGCTCGGAACCCATTATTATTCTATTGTGAAGACTTGGAGAAATATTCAAAAGAAGTAGATAAAAATAAAACCAATTTGTTGTTGTTGAACAAGTCAGACTTGTTGACCCCTCAACAGCGTAAATACTGGGCAAAATATTTTGACTCTAGAGCTACTACAGTAGCTTTTTATTCTGCAAAGCAAAGCGAAGAAACTATTGAAGAAGGAAATGAAGATGCTGATGAAACTGTTTGTAGAGAAAATTTTATTTAAATTGTTCTATTTTATATATATTATTTATTTAATTTAGGTTAAAGAAGTAGTCGAAGAAGAAGAAGAAGTAGAAGAAGAAGAAGAAGAAGAAGATGATGAAGAGTGGAATAGTTCAGATTATGAAACTGACGAAGAAGAAGAAGTAATTGGAGATGTGGATGGTAAAATATTTATTTTTTTTTAAATTATTTATCCAATATTGTTAAACTTTTTTAGTTTTTTATGTATAGATGAATGCCCTAAGTTTAAAAATTCTTCAAAGTTATTAACAAAAGAAGAATTAATTTGTCTCTTCAAAACAATTCATGGAAATAATAAACGTTTGACTAGTGAATTGGTTACTATTGGACTAGTAGGTTATCCAAATGTGGGTAAAAGTTCAACAATTAATACCCTTCTTGTTAATAAGAAAGTGTCAGTATCTTCTACTCCGGGAAAAACAAAACATTTTCAGGTATCATTTGAACCACAGTTCATTAAGTTAGCTTAATATATTATAAAATACGTTGTGTCTAGGTACCCGGGTACAAAAACCATACACGGATCCATTCGTGTATATATTCCCAACAGTGACGCTAACGTGAAAAAAAAACGTAAATTATTTAATGGTTACAGTGATGTCCACGTGGACACTCGCTCGCTGCGCTGCTCTCTGACAAAAAAAACTGAAATATCCCCCAACTTGTTGTGCAACACCACTTCAAGTTGGTCACAGGGTAACCCGCCGTATAACCAATCTTATCACTCGAGGGCACCCAGGTCTCTAGACACAATGTATAAAATATCCCTGAATATCCTTATGAATATTATCATAGTTTGTTCTTCTGCTAGTAAAATATGAGGTGCAGTTTTATAAATAATTTAAATATTATTGTTTTAATATTTATTTGTATTAATGTATACAAGGAAGTCATAATAGTATTTATATAATATATGATATTTTTCAGACACTTTTTGTTGACAAGGAACTGATGTTATGCGATTGTCCTGGTTTAGTTATGCCTAGTTTTGTATTTACAAAAGCTGACCTTATTATACATGGTATTCTTCCCATCGACCAGATGCGGGATCACAGACCGCCCGTGAATATAATTTGTTCGCAAATACCAAAACACATATTAGAAGATCAGTTTAGTATTATGGTAACAAAACCGTTGGAAGGCGAAGATCCAAACCGACCACCCACAGCTGATGAATTTCTGAATGCTTACGCATGTAATCTAATCAGCAATTAATTTTTGTAAGATATATATTTAATGCAACATTTGTGTTTATTTTAATAATGTAGGCAGTCGAGGATACATGACGGCAAATGGACAACCGGATGGTTCTAGAGCGGCTCGTGTAATACTTAAGCATTATGTTAATGGACGGCTACTATATTGTATTGCTCCACCAGATGTTGATCAAAAAAAATTTCATTCTTATCCACCACCTGAAGAAAACCGTGCAACAAAAACATTCACCCCATTTGAACACACTCTTCTTAAGGTTCATTATTTTTTTTAAATTTGTAATTTTAATAATTTTTTATCAAACACACATAAACACTGTGTTTTTCAGCCAAATGTTGCATCTGGATCAGATTTAGACCATACGTTTTTTCAAAAAACAACAATGGGCGCACACAGTAAAGGGATGAAAAAGATGGATATAATGGGCAGTATTAATAAGTATGTTGTAAGTAACTTATTATGTTTTGTTTATTTAATAATATTTTATTCATTCTACAGTCAAGCTCAACAAAGTACATCCAAGCCGTGGAAAAATCATAAAGAAAAAAGGAACAAGCACGAGAAATTGAGACGCCAATTCAGACATCTTGATATATAAATTTTGTTATTATTTTTAAATTAAACATATTTTATTTGTGATAAGTTAATTATTATAACACGATAGAGCTGAATCAATATTATTTTTGTAAAAGTTTGTACAACACCAAATGATTGCGAAAATATTAAAAAAAATCATACTTAAACCAATAATTATTTATTTTATTTTGTAACTCTTCCAATACATCAGAATGTTAGAACGTTTCCAGTCCTGTTAAATACTTAAAATGTTAATAATAGTCCGTGGTTGACAGTCTGTCGTCAATGTCGTCATAACTTTTGGAACAATCTGTCGCGGTGTGATGTGGAAAGTTAGCACTCAGCACTGCTATAACTTTATACATGTAAAAAAAATGGTATAAAATAGAAATATTGTCGACTACTCGAATACTGTGTTTGACATTAGTTTTTAGACGTTTTTTTTGTTTTTGACGTCAGTTATTATTGTTCTATGATTTTTACCACCAGAGCGCCATCTAGTGAAGTGTACAACTTTTTTCGGTTCTGATTGGTGAGTCGATGGGAGGATGGCCTTCGTTCTCACAGACCTTGATCGTCTATGTTCTTTCCCAAAAGGTCGGTCGCTTATCAGTTACCACTGAAAATTTTTAACTCTTTAGTGTTTTGTGTTTACCACGGACTGAGGTACTGCTTGACTAATCCGCGATTCCCGATCTCGGTGTTATCGAATGATATAATTTTAATTAATTAATAATTTGCATTTCGCATTGGTATTTGGAATTTGCCATTTGGCACAATGGAGTTTATAATTACCTAATAATTTGGATGTTTGTCGCGGAAGTCATTAAATTTACCTCGTTCATTGTTTGACGAAATATGATATGCAAGATGCCAGTCGCCGAAGATACATTGTCGATATCTGATGTAATTGTACAACTCCAAGACTACAGTCCCACCGTAAGAATTTATCGCTATCTAAATAATTACTGTGACAATGTTGTTTCCGATGTGTCGATGACAGTTTTAAGTATTAATTTAATCTATATTTACAGATACCCGATTCTATTACAACATCTATATGCTCAGAAGCTGGATTTGAGACAAATGACCCTCGAATGTAAGTTTATAAGTGTAAAGGGCATTTTTTGTATTAACCCTATAACGCTTACCTTATTTTTATATAGGTTAAAATATTTTATTTTGGATCAATTTTACATGCATTACACTACCCTGGGGAAGTGGCATAATTTGTGGCAGGGGTTGCTTGTCATTAGCGTACCGCTGTCGAGCCGGGTATGGGGTAGTTTTAGACGTTCATGTAGTAGCTATTAGGTAATATATTTAGGTATCCCTTACATATTTTTATGTTTTAATTATTTAGTCCTTGTTATCCCTCAATAAAATGCCTTATTTATGCCTATGATAGTAACCAGGAAGTATACATTTATGTGTGAAGCCTATTGAGATAAAAATTCAATTGTTACCGAGCGGTTTTTTTTCTGTTTGATTATGGGTCGGTCAAAAATGTTGTCCTCCCTCAAAAACTGAAATGACGCCACTGCTCAGGGGGTCAACAATACATTTTTATGATCACCGATACTAAATGCTAGTGTCTAAGTGCATCGGCGAACTAGGGGGGCTTAGCCCCCTCGTACTGCTATTTTTTTGTGGTTTTACATTTTAACCCTCCTTAGGCTCGTAGTTAAAACCCAAATCGTACGAAAAAAAAAATAATGTGTAAAATAATGAATATTATATTATAACATATGATAATATAATTGACATTGTGTACAGTGTAGGTATGTACCAAGTACAAATTTATCGTAATTTTTCATAGTTTTCGCGAAAGAAATGTGTTTATTGCATATTAGCTTATATAAACCTAATTAACGCCTCTATTATATAGTGTGTCCCAGAAGTCCAGTATCACCCTTAGTATCTCCATAGAAAATCAATATATTTAAATGTAGTTTTTTTTACAGTACTAAGTATGAAAAATTTGATTGAATAGAATAATAATCGATTTTTTTTTCAAAAATTCAAAAATTTTTTAGGAAAACAATTTTTTTAAATTTTCAAAATAGCCATTTTGTTGATCGTATTTTTAAACCAGTTCCAAAAAAAAACTAAAATGTAATGAAAATTGCCCAAGTTAGAGCTTATTGTTGTTTTTAATTTTAGCCAAAAAATCAGTGTGATTGTAGTAATTAACATGCGAATCGTATTTTGCTATTATTCTTCGAAATTCAAAATAATAATTAGCTTGCATTTTTCATTACATTTTAATATTTTTTTTTTTTTTGAACTATTTTAAAAAATACGAACAACAAAATGGCTATCTTGGAAATTTAAAAAAACTTATTTGCCTAAAAAAATTTTTTGAATTTTTGATGACCCAAAAAAATTATGGTTTATATAAAATTTTGGTTTTAGCTGACTTTTTGTAACAACTAAATTTCAGTGAATCTTATTGCCCCCCCACTTGTTATTTCACACTTTGGTTTTGTAGGACTAACCTAACCTAACCTATGTAATTAATAAATCCTAGTTACGCCCATGCCTAAGTGTTTTGTGTAATTATCATAACAAACATGTTGTCAAAAATCTTGGTGACATAGTGGTCACGGTTTCAAATATATTAAGAATCACTGGTCCAAACAATGCCATTGATTCTTGTAAAATGAATGAACAAACAATGATTAACTAATAGCAAAATTATGTTGTTTTTCATCATTAAAATTACTTAACAATATTAGTGAGAGAATGAGAGATAGACAGAAGTTAGAAGAGCTTACTATAAATGCTCTAAAAATGATGAGTGTTTGTTAAAATCGAAAAATGATGAGCACACTAGGGTTAAATAAGTAGTATAATTTTGTTATATTATACTATTAGAGTATGGGGGGTGTATGGGACTATTAAATATGAGATCACTAATATTGTAATCAATGATTCATAATTAAATTTGGGTAGTCAGAAACTATGAAGTTATAATCTATGTATTATTATCATGTATTACGAAATAATTTTGTCCGCACAAAATTAGTAATTATTAATATTTATGCAAATTAAATGAAAATTATTTGTGTTTTTTTTTTCATTAAATTACGGAAGTTTTAATCCTTTTAGTTTAAATAATAGTAATTCATTAAAATGTTATATTCACATGTAAACAGATGTTTTTTTTAATAGCAAGTGCTTTTTCTTTACAATCAACCCAACACATATCATACAGCACTCGCGCTTATTGTAAATAATTATTTTATAGATCTTGTAAAAAAAAAAAAATTAAAGTTAAAATAAATTCATACATTTAATACTTTATAGATACAATTTTTCCTATTTACATTAATGTTGTGGGCCATTTATGATATTTCAAATATACAGTAAGGATCTTGGTAACTCATATCTCATATGAAAAAAAATAAATTCAACTTATGTATTTTATATATGTACCTCATACTTCAATGGTTAAGGAAAAAATTTAGTTATTGAGAATTTACTGTGTTTGCTAAGTTCATATTATTATGTTTTTATGTGATTGTATCATAATAATATTTATCTTGATTCTCAGTTAAAGCTAGAATAGTCAGCTAAACTTATACTATTGATTGTTGAGGAAAGAAATGATTGTTATTTAATGAGTAAAGGTATTAACATAGATATATACAACAACTAGATAGCCGTATTTATACTGCAGTTGTGACTAATGTTGAAATCGGCCGCCATTTATAAAGCAGACAATATGTTTACATTTATTTTACATTGATTTATATACATATATACTGTGATAATATTATTTTGAAAACATTGCCTGCTTTGTAAAAGGTGGCCGACTTCTTCGATGGCAAGAAGGAGACAGCTATCTAGTTGTTGTATATATCTATGGGTTTAATGTCTGTGGAACCAATAGGTAAAACCAAAAATAGTTGGGTCACTGAATATAAAACCATATTATTGTTAAAATTAATAGTTGCTGAGTTCTATGTGGGTACACATTTAAATTTTCATATTTAGTTATAAAACTATGTACATTAATTTATTTATTTCAGAGTTCGGTTGATAGCAATTGCTTCTCAGAAATTTATTGCTGATATAGCCAACGATGCATTGCAACATTGTAAAGTGCGTTTGGCTACCTTGCCAACTAAATCTGGAAAAGTTCCTAAAGACCGTAAATTCACATTAACTATGGAAGATTTATCACCAGCACTCAGCGATTATGGAATTATTGTTCGAAAGCCTCCATATTTTGTCTAATTTTTCTTTTTATTTGTACTTAATTGTAATATTTTATTCATTACTATTTTATATCATTAATTAAAAATTTGTGTTCTAATTTCTATGATATAATTAAAATTTACCCTTAATTTAACACATATATTTTTTTGTTCTAAAAAATAGAATTAACTTCTAGATATGATATAATTTGTATAAAAATAAATAATTTAAAAGTATTAATTCATGTATTGTGATAATAATATCATTTTGTATACAGTAATAAAGGTATTCCTTGAAAAGTAAAAATTATACAATAAAATTGTACAAAAAGAACATGTTTGATAAATGTTATGTTATTTCATTCCCAAATTATTTTTAGTTTATATTTGATAACTGGATAAAAAATGTACTAGTTAACTTGTACAAAATGAAAATGTTCAAAGTTATATAATAATGGATAGAGATTTATACATTTTGGTTTTCTTTTGTTATTTTTTTCTTAGTAAATTACTTACTAAAACCATGCAAGAGTCTCTTTCATTTAAATTAGATTTAATTAAAAATGTTACATAATAATTTTAAATAAAAAATAATAGACCTTTTAACCACTGTTTAATATAAAAATACCAATTACAATATATATTGTGATTACTACAGATTACTATATCTGTATTTTAATCTAACCCAACTATCTCTCATCAAAATTAAAATTTTCTGCCTTAAAACAATTAAATAAAAGTTTTAGCAAACTGAATTCAAAATGATCACATAAAATATTTTCATGGCTTGAAACCGAAAATAATTTTTTTTTTCAGTTTTGATATAATTTCGGTTTTAACCGGGATTCAATATCGGTTTCAAGCCTTGGTTTTAATGCAATAAACATTATATCAATATCTATATCGATATATCTAACTAATTTACAGGGGAATAAAACACAATTCGAGTTGTCCAGTTTTTCGAGTTATCTCGACGACTGTAATTATAATTATTGTATTTCTCAATTTTAGATCAGGCAACTTTTATAGACAAAAGATAACAATTTGAACCTCCCTATTCAAAATGCACACGCAACAATTTCGAGGTATTGAAACTATCAAGAAAGAATAGGTACGGAAAATTAAAAAATAATATTTGATTTCTTGAGAGGAGACTAGAAGAGTACTAAATACTAAATAGGAAATAACACTGCAAAGGTCAGACGCTATGTGTATACTGTATACGCGTGTATTGATCGTTGGAACTCTGCCTGCTAGAATATAAACTTAGTTTTATAAATAATACATAAAAATATAGCCATTGCCCATCAGTATTTGAACTGAAAAAAACTGTTTTGAAAAGAGTCCGAAAAAGGGCGAAAACCACTCATGGTGCTTGGCAGCAGTATTACAGGTGATTTTTTTTTAACACATGGGCTGCTATTTATTTATATTGTCTCGAGATTTTTGTGTTGAGCAAAATAAAATATTTGTAGGCACATAATGCATCGTTTGAAGTACCCATAACACTATAACAGTAGGAGTCTGAAATCGAGTGAACATCGCCATTTAGTAGGTACCTACTACCTACCTATAGGTCTGGTGACTGTTAGCAGTTAGGATGTGTTAAATTTGAACTTTAAAAGCTTATAAAAAAAAATGTTGCCTATTTATTTTTAAGCTGCTATTGTCACATGTGTGAGGAGCCTTGTATTACATTTTCAAGCATAAAATATTATTTTAATTTTATAAAGTAAACATATGGTGTAAATTTCAGGTATCTACAGTTACTCGTTTTTGAATTACAACAAAATACAAAAATCGTTATAACATCTAAGATTTGAAAAGAAATGTTTTTATGAATTTCTAACTCAAAATAATTAGCCCATTTATTTTTGTAAATTTTATGTATTTTGTCATTTTCAATGCTTAGAAAATATATTATTAATTTAAATGAATAGGTTTCAACTGCCATTGTAACAATATATTAGAAGCTTTGTATTACATTTTCAAGCTTTTTGTCCCAACGAATGCAATTTTATTGACATACAATATATAGAAAAAAAAACTAAAAATGTCCTTAAACAGCTTAGAACAAATCAAAATATTTTGAAAATTGTATGATGTATAGAAATTAGAAAATGCTATTTTGACCTCTCCGATCCACCAACTATATTCACTCTCCCAATTCCCATCGAACTACCTAGATACTGAAGTTGAAAATCATTATTTTGCATTATTTCGACCATTTATCGTGTACACAGACACAAATAAAAAAAAAAAACACATCATCGTAAAATAAATTTCGCATCATAGCAAAAGTTTAAAAAAAACTGTTATAAGTACCTATATTATGTAAAAATGTTTGTCCATTGTTTGACTAAATAAGCTGTTCAGAGATTAGGAGGGATCATGATATTTAAATAGGGACAACTCGGAGCCCTCAGAACCAAATCCCCATGCATTTAAATGATAAGTTCCGAGAACAGACGGAAAATATAAATGACGTATTGGCATATTGCATACCCATTAATTGCGATTGCGAGTACTACAGTCGAATCCGCTTGTTATACGTCATTACGATGCCGTAGATATATGTAACGATATTCCGGATAAAACGATTCCCAGTCATGTACTTGGTTCAGTGGCGTGTATCATATAAAAAAATGAGTGTTGCTCAAATAATTTTAGGTGACCTAACCCACATTATGTTGTTAATATTGCTATACTGACCTATAAAATGTCCTATTTGTCTTCTATCAATACCCACCCACCCGGCCACCCATATTTAAGGTGTTGCCCGAGCAACACTTGAACCCTACCTATGTGGCCATGTTACACGCCACTGACTATTGGTTGGTTTTATTTTTATATATCTCATGTGTGACGTGCAGTACCTATATGTCATTCGGGTATAACGATCTGATTCTCTAGTTAGGTTAGGTTAGTTGGGTTACAAGTGGATTCTACATTTTCTACTGTATTTATTGCTGAATGCTGATTGTTAGTGGTTACATATTTTGAAGTTAATTTTTTTTTTGTATTTTGATGTTTATTAATAGTTATTAATATGTATTTAATTTGTTTGTTATTATTAGTAGGTAATCCAGTTTCATTTATTAATTTATCATACAAATATACAATTATCATTCATCGATTATATCATTATGGATTGATTCATAATTGGAACGAATTTTTTTCATGAATTTTAATTCTTTCATTCATGATTATTGATTCATCAAGATTCATTGATGGTCGCCTAAAACTCAAAAAGGACGACTAAACAGTAAACACACAACTGAATTTGTAGATTTCGCGAAAGCGACCGATATCCTCCAATAAATATTTAATTTATACAATTTTCGTGGCTGCATGTTACTTGCGTCCCAAAAAAAGATATATTTTTCAGGTAGTAAATTTGACCGGTAAATTGCGTCCCGTTTTGGGGACGCAAGTCAGCCATATAATTGGACGGACGTTGTGAGAAACGTGTCAAGTCACTTTTTGGTAATTTTGATATTATACATCAAAATTGTAAGAAATTTTACGCTGCGTCGATTGGTAACACTGTTATTAACATACGGTTGCTTGTTGTTGTGTTATATTGATGTGCGAAAAGAGTCAACTCAATAACTGTTGAATGATTTTGTGAGAAAAGTGTCAAGTCAAAAATAATTAAACAATTTCGTGAGAAACATGTCAAGTCACTCAATATTTTATTATTTATTTGTTTATTATTTCCTGTTGCCTTGTACTATTTCAAGTACCTACCTAATACGATTTTTAATATTTTATCATGTTATTGCAATGTCAAATACTCAAATGTATGCGGTGTTTTAAGATATTAAGTTTTATTATTTTCTATAAGTATAGTACCTACATTATAATTTATAATATACCGTATAGGTACCTATCTACTACCTACTGCAGTATATTAATATACTGTGTAGGTACTAGTACACATACACTTACAGATTTTTTCATTGATTTTCTTTTATAGGTAATATTCTTTAACACTGTTCTTTTCAAAGTTGTTAATAAACTAAGTAGGTACCTAGCTTCAAAAAAATGTATGCATTGATCAGTCAATCATAGATTGTATGGAGCTTGTTTACACCAAATTGAGTATAATACAAGAAAAGCTTCTCTGTAAAAGGTTAGTACCTACTAACTTAAAACTTAACATAGTATAATAGCACAAACTTCTATAAAACCAAATGAGAGGTGTTATTAATGTCAAGTCATATGTGCAAAAGGTATCAAGTCAGATATTGTATGTGTCATTTATGTCAAGTCATGTGCAAAAGATGCCAAGTCAGATATTTTTTGTGTCATTTATGTCAAGTCACTTACAAAAGGCTTAAAATAATTTAAGACTTCAAGATGAATGGAAATCTAAAAATAAATATGTCTATGAGACATAAATAACTATTCTAACAAATTAAAAACAAAAATTGGAGAATATAAACGTTTTTTTCTTCTCCTGAAAAATCAGCATTTTTGACTTGACACGTTTCTCACAACGTCCGTCCAATTATTATCGATTTTATCTTCTAAAATCATTAAAATCGATAGTATCGTGACACTAAAATCGATAGTTCATAAACTGTACCGTATACATGTGTGTGAGTGCGTGCGTTACTTACTTACAATTTATCTATGATAGTATATTCTATTAATAACTTAAGTGGGTATTATTTTATGTGAAAAGATATGGGAACATGTATACATCTTGTTGGTTGTTAGATTCGATAAGATAAAGCAATATTATTTTCACATTTTACTTTTATTCAGTACGATTCGTCTTATTAGACCAATAGTTGTGAAATAACCACTCATCAAATTAAAAAAAATTAAATAAGTTAATTTAATAAAATACTATTTTTTATATTATTATTACTACCATGACAAAATATAAAACATATGAATTTGTAATTTTATAAGTTTGAATTTTAAAAAAAAGCGTGAAAATTGAACTCCTGAAGTTGAAAAATATTCGTTCAACTTTTATAGCTAATGATTGAAATATACTTAGTAATATCATAGGCTGACTGACCGTTT